ACTGCTCTACAATATGATATAATTGTTTCGTTTCATATAAGGTTGTTTTGACGTTTTCTAATTCGTTCAATAATTTAACCTTAGGATTATTCTGCTGGAAATTCGAAGCATTTTTGGTTTTTTATAGGCCATTTGAATATTTTATAGTCATCAAATTCTAAAGGCTTGGCCATTTTGACCTTCTTGGACAAATTTTGGTGTTTTTTGTTTTGAAAATTTTTGACATTTTCGGACTCTGGGCAAGTTTTGTCGTTTTCATGGCCATTTGGGAATTTTAAAACCAATTTGAAAAGTCTTGGCCAGTTCGATTTTTTAATCATGTGTGGCGTTTTGAGGACCATTCTAAAGTAACACTGCTAGTTTTAACTAGGTTTCAAAGCATTCTGTAGGAGCAAATCATGCTCTATAACACTACAATAAAACCACAATTCTTCCATGGGTTGTAACGTTCAATAAAATATCAGGATTATCAAAACAGTTGTTTGGCCGTTTTAAAGATTTTAAGGCCATTTTGGCGTTTTAAAGCCGTCTAGAAAACAGCAGGTTAATCATGCATTCGTTATTTGCCCCGAGTTTATCATACTAATATGTCGTTTTAATACTACGCATACGCTTCGATTACACATTCAGTGTTTTCAGATTATTTTTGCACATTCAAAGCCGTTTTTGGACGCTTGTTGATGAAATATCACCTGCCTTCTGTGACACTTCGGACTCGAAGAAGCACTTGGACCTTCCGTAAATTTCTTGGAGCTTTGCTCAAACATATTTAAGCTTTGGTAAATACATATGAACTTCTCCAAAATTCTTGGAAAATTTCCTTCGTAAGTAAGATCTGAGAACTTCAACGAAGGTCCTCGAAATTCAGTGAATTTCTAAAATCCTCAACAAAGTTTCAAAATTTTCAGCAATGTTCTACAAACTTTAGCAAAGTATCAAAAATTTCAGAGTAGTTCCAAAATTTTAAGTAAAGTTTATTTAAGCCATGTTTAAATATTTTAGGCAAGGATCATACAGATTCCATACAGTTGGGTGAGCATGCGATAAGCTCCAAAAACTTTGGCGAAGTTCCATGAAATCCTGCAAAGTTCCAGGAACTTGATATATGCTCTGATATTTTTGGAAAAATTCCAATAGCATCGGTGAAATTCCGAGAATTTAGGAACAAGTTCCGAGAACTTTTAAAAAGTTCCGAAAACTTTGGAAAAGCATTAAGAAGTGCAACTAAGTTTCATCAGAAAAGCTCCGAAAAAATCGGCAAAGTTTCAAAAATATCTTCAAAGTTCCAAGAACCAGAAAGTTCTGAAATGTTTCAAAAATTTCTGGGAAGTTTCAAAAACTTCAGCGAAGATCAAAACACTTCATCAAAGTTCATATATCTTTACCAAAGTTCAAATATGTTTAACAAAGCTCCAAAAAATAAACGTAGTTTGCAGAATTGGAGGAAAGCTCAGAAAACTTGATAAATATTCCCTAAAATTTCAAGAATGAATAAAAAATTTCAAGGATGAATAAAAAATTTCAGAGGTGTTAAATAAATTTAGGAAAGTGCAAAACACTTGTGAAAAGCTTCAAGAAATTCAGCGAAGTTCCTAGATCTTGAGATAAACTTCGAGAACGTCGGATAAATTCCGAAAACTTTGGATGCATTCCGAGAAATCCTGCGATCTTATCTTCCAGAGAGACCGTTTTGCTGACGAGCATTTATTTGCATACATATGGCAATCTTGCTGTTGAATTTGTTGATGAAATACCATCTGCCTTCTGTGACACTTGGGGCTCGTAGAGGTTCTTGGACCTTCGGTTAATTTCTAGGAGGTTTGCTAAAAAATTATTCAATCTTTGGTGAATATATATATGAACTTTGGAATAACCCAGAAATTTTTGAAACTTCACCGAAGTTTTCGGTACTTCTCCGATATTTTTGAAAAAGATCCTCTGTAAGAGAAATCTGAGAACTTCAACACAAGTCAAAAAAAAAATCAGTGAAATCCCAAAATGTTCAACAAAGTTCCAAAAATGTCAGCAATGTTCCAATTTTCAGAAAAAATCAAAAAAATTCAGAGTCATTCCAAAATTTAAAGTAAAGTTTATTTAACCCAAGTTCAAAATTTTCGCGAACGCTATAACAGAGAAAACACAGTTGGGTGAGCTTGTGGTAAGCTCCGAAAATTTTAGCGAAGTTTCAAGAACTCCTGCCAAGCTCCAAGATTTTGAGATATGTTCTGACAACTTTGGAAAAAAATCCGCTAGCATCGGAGAAATCCGAGAACTTTGGAGACGTTCCGAGAACTTTGGAGGAGTTCAAGTAATTTTGAAAAGCACCATGAAGCTCAACTAAGTTCCAAAAGCGTCAGTAATGTTCCAAAAACTTCAATAAAGTTTCAAAAATATTTGCATAGTTTCAAGAATTTAAAATTACCAGAAAGTTCAGAAAAGTTTCGAAAATTTCAGAGAAGTTTCAAAAACTTCAGCGAAAGTCAAAAAATTTCAGAGAAGATCAAAAAAATTTCATCGCAGTTCAAATATCTTCACCAAAGTTCAAATATCTTCAGTTGAGCTCCAAAAAAATAAGCGAAGTCTTCAAAATTCAAGCTAAGCTCCAAAAACTTTACCTATATTCCCTCAAACATCAGGGATGTTTAAAATGTTAGGAATGTTTAATCAATTTCAGAGGTGTTAAAACAAATCCAACGAAGTCCCAAACTTTTCAGCCAAGTTCAAAACACTTCCGAAAAGCTCCAAGAAATTCAGCGCAGTTTCTACATGTTAAGATAAGCTTCGATAACTTTGGATAAATTCCGAAACTTTGGATAAATTCCGAGTTCTTTGGAGAAATCCCGCGATCTTATCTTCCGGAGAGACACCGCTTTGCTGACAAGCATTTATTGGCACCATGCATATGGCAAACTTGCTGTTGGATTTGTTGATGAAATGCCACTTCCCAAGTAGCATTGCAAGTTTTATCGAGGTTTTAAAGCATGCTAAAAGTCTAAATCATGGTCTCCAGAACCCTCATAAAACCAAAATTGTAGCTTGGGTTCCCAAGTAACATTGCAAGCTTTATAGAGGTTTTATAACATTCTACAAGTCTAAATCATAGTCTACAGAACCCTCATAAAACCAAAATTGGAACTTGGGTTGACTTCTGTGACAATTGAGGCTCGTAGTTCCGGATTGGCTGTGACGCTGTTTTCGGTGATTTTTTTAAAGTACGTGTTTTTACATTCTGATTTCATTCTGAGGTACATCAAGGAAGAGGAGACAACTGGCTTCTTCTTGTCTGTGACGTGTTTTTTCTTCTATCGCGGAAACGACCGTGTAAAAACTTTTTCGTTATGGACGACGCAGTCGACTGTCAAAAAACAAGAAAATAGATTCCCTGTTGTAAAAATTCTAGCGTTTCTATACGTTCACCAATTAGACTCTGGTTTGCGTTTAACAGAAAATTGGTTCAAAAAAGGCCTCCTATTATCTCCTCTTCCTCTTAGAGCAAGCCAAGCTCGACGCAACGCCTCCTCTTCTATTTGGGCCAAATTATTTCCATGCGACATTGACGCCCTCATTTTGCAGAGAAGCTTTTGACAATCAGTTACCATCGATTCTCCAAATTGGTTGTTGAATTTGGTTGCCAAATGAGCAAACCCACTGTTTAACTAAAGGTTATGTTGCCATTTCCCAAACTGTTTGGTAACTGCCGATGCGGTGTTGTGTTATTGTAAAAGTATGGACATCTGCCAAAATCAGTTCCTATCGAACTGTCAAATTACACTGCATTGCTCGATTGAAACAGTGTTTTCCTGTTTTCTGGTGACAGTCGTCCATACTTTTGCTTAGAGGACTTCAGTGGTTTCTGCTAAATTGTGTGTAGCAACGCACCGGTGGACATGGTCTAAGAGTTAGAGGGTAATTAAGACCCTATGATAATTGGCATTTGATGTCTACAAATATTAAAGCACAAAGATATATAGCTCCATGAAGAAATATTTACGGCTTACCAGATTTTGGCAGTGTTGCCAACAAGGAAGTCAACAAACATGAAGTTAGAAATCATACCGAAAAAGGGACATCAATCCATCCAATCACCCCATATTCACACCAATCGAGAAATATTGGAAAATTATCAAGTGGAACTTGAAGATGACTAGCAAGTTAACTCGGGAAGTTTTAAAGATGGCCAGATGTTGGAACAAACTGGTTACTGGCTACTGAGGTTGACCAACAGTGGGGTTCAACAGATCATGGCTGGAATTTCAAAAATTTCATCAGAAGCCCGTTGGAATAAGTAGTTATATTTTTATTTGCAAAGTGCAATAAAAAGCATCAATTTGACTAGGATTAATGATGGCTTCGGCTATACTTTCAACTATTATCGCTAGGAGTTAAATCAAATCCTTGAGCGTTCACTTTTCATGGTTGAGAGCATCGTTTGGCGAACATTGAAAACTCAAGGACATAATGTACCACCTGACGATGACAGTATTGCCGAAGCCGTCATCTACCCTACTTAACATTTGTGTTTATTAAACAAATCCCGAGATATAGCTGGGGCCACATTATGCAACCAAGTTAAAATGACTTCGACGCTTCGTTTCAAATGATCACATTTAAATTAATTGATATGATTTGGCCATTTCACTACCCATGTTGATAAGAATTCAAGTGGGGTCATCGTTTTCTGATCAACATTAGTTCCGTTATTAAGGGAAAAAAAATAGTATTCACATTTTGAATCTTCGCATATTTTTAAGATGATCAAATTTCAGAACTCAGACACACCCATACGATTGATTTTCACGTCTGAAGCCTCTTCCTAAGCCAAGAATCTCTTCGATCAGGACATTTTGCGTTCAACACCTTCTCAATCAGCTCCCAATTGATCCTTTTCACTTGCCCCCTTTCCCCAACAAAAGTCCTTCACTATCACAGCATACCACTTCACCACCTGCGCAACAATTCACCAAGTCCATTTTCACAGCACATTCACAACCGTTTCTCACCTTCCATCTGACGACCCTCCTCACTGTTCTCTTCCGGGATGTTAAACTTCACGGTATGCGAGCTCAGATATCGCACGGCACGTTCGGCTAGATCTTCATCGGCATCAGCGCTACCACCGTCGAATGATCGCCCATTTTCCTCCCGCTCGACAGTCAATCCACCGAACAGCGGGAAACTATCCTGCTGGTCGATCTCGTTGATCAGATTCACCATCTGCTGTTCTTCCTTGGTGTTCGCTGCTGCCGCAACGGCGATCGTCACCGCCAGAATCACTAGGGCACTGCTTCGCAGGAACATGATGCCGATTGTTGAAGGGGGGTTTGTTCTGAACCTTAAAGGTAGCTGGTAATTAACTAATTGCACTCGTCGTTGGCTTAGGCCTCACTGATGGATTATTCGATTATTACAAAGCTATTTATTGGAGTTCGATATCGATGGACTGGACTGATCGGTAACGAAAACGGAGTGTGCGCATGCGTTTTCCAAATTTTCGGCCAGTCGTCCATCGTTCCGAGTCCGCGTTGACCAGGTTTGGGTGTTCCCGCCTCCTGGGTGTGTCTGGAGGGGATCCCAAGTTGGAGTTTATTTTGGCACTGCAACAACTATTGCCGACGAAAGCTACCGACCGACGACGGTTGATAATTAGTATGCAAGACGACGCGCAGATTTGTCGATAGTGAACTCGAAGCTGGTTGGCGTAAGGCTTCCGAGTGTCACAGCAAGTCAAAATATTTGTGCCAGAACGTGAGTGAAATTGGCAAGAGGAAACCGAGGTTCCAAAACTGTAAACGGTGTGGAATGGAACGGGCTGTGGAATGCTTGGATAGTTTCCATTTCTTTTGGATTATGATATGGGAATGACATTTTACAAATGCCTCAGAAGGTTGGTACGACTTATGGTATTTGGATGCTGATGGACATTTTTAGGGCAACGCAATCGTATCAGAATTTGATTAATCTTCAAAATTTAAATGACGTTCAATAGAGAAAAAAAAAGTATCAATTCTTAGGTCTCGCTGATGCAAAACAGTCATTAATCTAGCATGGAGTCGAAGCTACCCAGTGTCTGATGGATTGCTGTTGGGTAATTAACACGTTTCTCGCGAATAAAACATTACTGAAAGACCGCTGACGAAATGTGTTTCAATCCACCTGAAAAACATGCTACGGCTGGATCCTCATCACGATAGTGTCGCATCATAAACCGTACCCTGCTTATTTGGTACTCTGGTCATGCAAACCGTTTGTGAGCTGTCACAGCGGAAGAGATTAAACTGATTCAGTCCAGTGAGGAGAATATGTTATGTTTGTATTTACCAACATATGCAATTTTCTTAATGACTCGAATCTGACGTTACGTTTACGAGGCCGAGAATAACCTCTTACGCTTTATATCACAAACTCAGTATTCAGGCAGCATTGTAGTAGCTTTATAACGTGTCATTTGTTGTTGATCCTGGCATAACAGTATTTTTAGTCTCCTTGTGTTTATTTCTGTAGTTGTTGGTTAGCAGTTAACAATTAAAAGTTTAAATTATACACGTTATGAAGAAATTCAATATTGAAAACTGTAGATATGTGACCCTGAAAAATTTAGTAATGTAAAGATGCCTGGCATAGTCCCAACGATCTTCTGTTCAGTATGTAAAAGTCAGTCAACTCTTCACTAGGCCACCGACCCCGTTACATCAGAACAAACCACTGTGACTGACTTTGTTTTCAAACCCGGATCAATCATATCTTTAAACACGAATTAAAATACATGCATACATTTATTTCACATCTCGCACGCCGTCGACAAAGCTTCCAGAATTCTAGGGTTTATCTTCAGGATTGCCAAAGACTTCACGGATATCTACTGCCTTAAATCGTTGTACTGCTCCTTGTCTCGCTCCATATTAGAATACTGCTCGGTTGTCTGGACTCCTCACTACAACAACGATGTCGAAAGAGTTGAGTCTGTTCAGTGACGGTTCCTGAGATATGCGCTACGTAAACTGCCTAGCTACGAAAGTCGTTTGCAACTGATCCATCTGGAGCGCTGTCGGTCCGAAGAGATACAGCAAGGGCATTGCTAATTACAGATATTTTGCAAGGACGCACCGATTGCCCTGTCCTCCTTGAGCAAATTGAGATAAATGTTCAACCCCGAGCCCTACGGAATAATTCAATGCTGCGCCTGCCCATACAGCGAACTAATTATAGCATGTTCGGTGCAATCGGTGGTTCACAGAGACTCTTCAATATGGTCTCCACACTGTTTGATTTTGATCTGACTCGCCAGCTGCTTCACCTTTTCTGAATCATGTGCGTTTCGTCTTCGTCTTCTTGTATCTTCTTCAATTCTTCTGCTACCTGATATGTTGTTGCTTATTGGTACACTTTTACATTCACTCTTTGATATATTTTCATCTCTCTTCTCCCATACTTCTGTTTATTTTCTTTATTTCTTCATCCTTATTTATTTTCATTGGCTTGTTTTGCGCTTCTTAGTCTTCACGCATTCTCCAATTTTCCTTCGGTGTCGTTCGCTATTTTCTGCTTTATCTTCTTGATCTTCTTCGTCTTCCTCCGCTTCGTTTTCCGTTCCGCCTTCATCTGATGCTTCGCTTCGTTCAAATTATCTTCTTCTTCTTCTTCTTCTTCTTCTTCTTCTTCTTCTTCTTCTTCTTCTTCTTCTTCTTCTTCTTCTTCTTCTTCTTCTTCTTCTTCTTCTTCTTCTTCTTCTTCTTCTTCTTCTTCTTCTTCTTCTTCTTCTTCTTCTTCTTCTTCTTCTTCTTCTTCTTCTTCTTCTTCTTCTTCTTCTTCTTCTTCTTCTTCTTCTTCTTCTTCTTCTTCTTCTTCTTCTTCTTCTTCTTCTTCTTCTTCTTCTTCTTCTTCTTCTTCTTCTTCTTCTTCTTCTTCTTCTTCTTCTTCTTCTTCTTCTTCTTCTTCTTCTTCTTCTTCTTCTTCTTCTTCTTCTTCTTCTTCTTCTTCTTCTTCTTCTTCTTCTTCTTCTTCTTCTTCTTCTTCTTCTTCTTCTTCTTCTTCTTCTTCTTCTTCTTCTTCTTCTTCTTCTTCTTCTTCTTCTTCTTCTTCTTCTTCTTCTTCTTCTTCTTCTTCTTCTTCTTCTTCTTCTTCTTCTTCTTCTTCTTCTTCTTCTTCTTCTTCTTCTTCTTCTTCTTCTTCTTCTTCTTCTAATCAAGCTTGCAAATGCTCATTACAGCTAAAATGCTACTTTTCGGATTTATGAAGCTATGAAATGTTTTAATGATAATTCTTATTTATAACATCCAAGTAGAGCAGGTAAAGTGTGTGTATGACACATCAAACCTGTCAATTTAGCTTTCAGAGGGTCACAATAGCGTTTAGCTGTAACGATGAGCAACGTGATGAGCGAGCAATCAGCGATTATACCATTGCTAGCTGTGACCTTCTGAAACCAAAATTGATAAATTTTTAATGTCATACACAAACTTAGCCACCTATTCTTGCTTCTTACAAATAAAAATAACTATTATAGTATCTAATAGTTTCATAATTACGAAAAATAACATTTTAGCTGTAATGAGCAATTGCAAGCCTGCTTCTAATTTACATTCGCTATCCGCTTTATGTTCTTCATTAGCTTCACCTTATTTACATGACCCCCCCCCCCCCCACGTGATGAACTAGCGTCCCTAGTAGAACCCTTGTTATAAATTGGTCTTGGAAACTTCTTTACGACTTATTTCAGTTATAAACAAGTTGCTGCAACTTTTTGGGACAGAATTGTGCTACTTGGGGTACGGCTTAAAATCACGATAATAATAATAATAATAATAATAATAATAATAATAATAATAATAATAATAATAATAATAATAATAATAATAATAATAATAATAATAATAAACATGGCCGTAACATATTTTTCTCCACCTTAATACACCTTCTTTGATCTTCACCCGGGTTTTCCGCTTCAACAACAACAACAACAACAACAACAACAACAACAACAACAACAACAACAACAACAACAACAACAACAACAACAACAACAACAACAACAACAACAACAACAACAACGAGACAACGAGACAACGAGACAACGAGACAACGAGACAACGAGACAACGAGACAACGAGACAACGAGACAACGAGACAACGAGACAACAAGACAACGAGACAACAAGACAACGAGACAACGAGACAACGAGACAACGAGACAACGAGACAACGAGACAACGAGACAACGAGACAACGAGACAACGAGACAACGAGACAACGAGACAACGAGACAACGAGACAACGAGACAACGAGACAACGAGACAACGAGACAACGAGACAACGAGACAACGAGACAACGAGACAACGAGACAACGAGACAACGAGACAACGAGACAACGAGACAACGAGACAACGAGACAACGAGACAACGAGACAACGAGACAACGAGACAACGAGACAACGAGACAACGAGACAACGAGACAACGAGACAACGAGACAACGAGACAACGAGACAACGAGACAACGAGACAACGAGACAACGAGACAACGAGACAACGAGACAACGAGACAACGAGACAACGAGACAACGAGACAACGAGACAACGAGACAACGAGACAACGAGACAACGAGACAACGAGACAACGAGACAACGAGACAACGAGACAACGAGACAACGAGACAACGAGACAACGAGACAACGAGACAACGAGACAACGAGACAACAAGACAACGAGACAACGAGACAACAAGACAACGAGACAACGAGACAACGAGACAACGAGACGACGAGACAACGAGACAACGAGACAACGAGACAACGAGACAACGAGACAACGAGACGACGAGACAACGAGACAACGAGACAACGAGACAACGAGACAACGAGACAACGAGACAACGAGACAACGAGACAACGAGACAACGAGACAACGAGACAACGAGACAACGAGACAACGAGACAACGAGACAACGAGACAACGAGACAACGAGACAACGAGACAACGAGACAACGAGACAACGAGACAACGAGACAACGAGACAACGAGACAACGAGACAACGAGACAACGAGACAACGAGACAACGAGACAACGAGACAACGAGACAACGAGACAACGAGACAACGAGACAACGAGACAACGAGACAACGAGACAACGAGACAACGAGACAACGAGACAACGAGACAACGAGACAACGAGACAACGAGACAACGAGACAACGAGACAACGAGACAACGAGACAACGAGACAACGAGACAACGAGACAACGAGACAACGAGACAACGAGACAACGAGACAACGAGACAACGAGACAACGAGACAACGAGACAACGAGACAACGAGACAACGTTGTCACCTCAATCCCAGGTCCCGCAGCATAGCCTTCAGCCGGTGCTTGATGATCGGTATGACATCCTCCGAGTGCAACTCGCGTCCTGTAATGATGAACAGTTCTTTGAACTGCTGCGTCCGGTGGGTCAGCTTTCTGGCGTGCTCTGTTAGGAAAATCTCTAAACACTGCAGCGCTTCCTCCGAGTGTAGATAGTGCAAATCCAACACGTCCACATTGTTCAGCGTCAGCTTGTGCACCTCCATGATGGCATTCGAGGCCTTACTGCTGTACATATCGATTTTGGTTCGATGAAGCCGGGCAACCTGGACATAGTACTCGGTCACCCCGGCCATGCCCCGCTGAATGGCATTCCGTGCCTTCTCGTGGCATTCGTTTTTCAGTTCCTGGTGGTCCTGGGACATATTGTGGCATTCTTCGGCCGTTTTCAGGTGAAGATTAATGTCGTCTTCGCTGGATGACAGTACCTGCTCGACCGTTGGAGGCGGCGACGTTGAGGACGAAGGAAGTGGTTTCTGTTTTTCGCCTTCTGCTCACTTCATAAGGGCTTCCCGGGCGATTTGGTTTCTCAGCTCTACCGGAATGGAATTGTTTAGGACGGTTATAGTGTCGCAGAATTTGTGGGCATGTAGGATTTCTGCCAGGACTTTCTCGTCAATGATAGGATACATTTCGGCTAGCTTTTGACGAGTCATATGCGAGGCCAGATCTTGCGGAGCTTGCTTAGCCCAGCCGTTGATTTCGCTTCGGTACGCCGTTAGAGCGTACTCCATTTCCATAACGGGATACTTTTCCTTCGCTTCCATTTGCTGTGCCAACCGAGCAACTTTTTTCATAAAATCTTGTTTTCCCCCTGCAGCTGTTCATGGAATCCAAGAAAGACAAATACAACTGTTCTGCCATTTCGGTAGCCATGAAAACCTTTGTTCGTTCATTGGTTAGTTCGTCTAAGGAGATGGCACCCGAGCCATGCTTATCCTTGAAACTGGCGTGTAACTGGCTTATGAGATTAATTCCCAACGTCACTTCCAGCACTTAGGGATCGTTTTGCAAATCTTCCGCTCCGTCTTTTATTTTCGTTGTGTTCCGGGGTGATTTCGAGCTGATGGTAGACCGATCGATTTTATAACCCCCTCCACCACCACCAGCACTACCGGAGGGATCACCGGAAGGCACTTGCGATACCATTGTTTCATTGCAATCACATTCAAACACAAGTAGGCCACCAACCGCACCGGCTTCCAAATTATCCGCTGTCTCGAATTCGTATGTCTTTTGCTCTTCTAGCAACAGATTTGCTGTCCAATCACCGTGCCCATTGCAGTTCTCGAATAAATCTAACAGATACTAGACCGGTATCTGGGGATAGAGGATGCAAATTTCCGAGAAGCTAGTGTTTTCATTTTTACATCCTCGTCTGTGCCTGACCAGAGCAATCCGTTTCTGAAAATCCGTCCTCACTCGTTTTCTCAGAACGGCCGTCCCGGTCGCGTTCCCTCCTGTGACTTTGCCACGGCGAGTAAACGATTTTCGCAAATCCGTCCTCACTCGCATTCAGAACGGCCGTCCCGGTCGCGTTCTTATCCTGTAGCCGTGCCACCACGAGGAGACGATTTTTCGCAAATCCGTCCTCACTCGTTTTCTTAGAACGGCCGTCCCAGTCGCGTTCAAATTTACAATTTTCCTTGCAAGTGGGTGATTTGCCCTTTATTACCTATCGGTGGACTCCAAGATTCCAGGTTCGTCTCCTGGCAGGATCGCCAGAAATGTGAAAATCCGCCGATATTAGCTATGGGCAAATCACCCACGGCGTAGCTAATTATTATTCAACTTACCCGTGCAGCAGCTGAATCCAAAAATGACCTTTCACCAACTGACTGGAAATGTGTAAGAAAAGTCATGACCTACCTAGGTATTATCCATATCATAACAACGAGACAACGAGACAACGAGACAACGAGACAACGACAATGACAACGACAACGACAACGACAACAACAGCGGTTTTGGAGCAGTTGGACACAGACCCTGATTTTGCCCGAAAAATCTTCTTCAGCGACGAGGCCTATTTCTGGATGAACGTGCATGTGAACAAGCAGAATTGTCGAATTTGGGTCAAGGCCAACCCTTATAAACGCGAACCAAAAATTGACCTTACTGAAAATGGTTAAAAATTGCAAATAATCCCTGCTTAACTTTAACAGAAATCGTAAAGCCTTTGGTGGATTAAAATGCCAACGGATTCCTGTGCTGGTGCATTCTTGTGCGACGGCCTGACGATACTCCTTACTGCGGACCAATTTTAGCAGCTCGTTGGCAACTCCGACAAAATTGCGACCGTTGTCACTGTATATATCGCTGCACAGACCTCGGCGAGGTACGAAGCGACGTATAGTGCTTGAAGAAATTTAGCCGTACTCAAGTCGACGACCAGCTCAATATGTACGGAGTGTGTTGAAAAGCATACGAACACTGCCACGTAGGCCTTTCGGGGTGCTGCTCGACGGTGTATGGGTTGCAGCGAGATGGGTCCCTAATACTCAATACCAGTCACGGAGAACGGTCAAGACGCTGTGACGCGTGACGACGGTAGTTCAGCCATGAATTGTTCCAGAAGTGGCGGACATGCCCTAGAGCAAGTGACACAGTTGCGGTAAATGAATTTGGCAAGACTTCTGGCCCCTATGATCCAGTACCGCAGACACAAAATGGCAATGATAAGTTGTGGAGCAGCTTTGAGAGAGGGTGAGAAGCTGGAATGATGATCTGGTGCTTGCTATCGTAAGGCTGTGCTGCTTGCACGAGACGGCCACCAATGCGAATCAGCCGATCGTCCGACACAAACGGATGAAACCAGCGCAAGCGAGACTTCGCCGAAACGTGCAGGAATTTCTCGAGATCCTTCCACTCCTCAATGAAGGTTTGTTGCTGAACCAATCTAATAAGAGTGGCCTCTGCTGCTTTCTTCTCATCCGATGTGACGTAATTTGAATGGTTGATTGCTGCGTTTTGGCGACAATTTTGGATGAATCGACGACAGTAAGCGGTTACTCTGAGCAAGTGGTCGTAGTTGGAGAACTTTTTTGAGAGTTGATCGACGAATGTTGGTTCAGATGATGCTTTGCATATAGTTTTTCGCTGTTTACCTGCTTCTGCTAGTGCTTCGGTGTTGGGTGCGATTTCGTGCTGCTTGATCGGCCAAAACGTTTGAACGAGTTGGGGCCATTTCGACCCGTGCCACCAGAGTTGATTGTCCAAAATATCTTCTGCTGCAATTCCTCGTGATAGGAGATCTGCGGGATTCTCTTGCCCGGCGACGTGGTACCAGGAACAATTTTGCGTAGCTTGCTGAATTTTAGACACGCGATTCGCGACGAAGGTGGTCCACGTTGACGGCGTAGCATTCAGCCAGCTGAGAACCGTCGTCGAATCAACCCAGAAGAATGTTGCACCGGGTAGTTCGAGTGATTTCGTGAATTTTTGATAGAGCTGGGCTGCAAGAAGTGCCCCACATAGTTCTAACCGAGGAATGCTTTACTACTTTAGACTTGGCTGTGAGAAGGGCTACCTTGTACGATCCAGAGTTGTCTGCCGATCGGATGTAGCAGCACGCGCCGTATGCGTGCTGAGAAGCGTCCGAGAAGAAATGGTATTGAACGAATGCTGGTTTTGCTGAGATGATATAGCGCGTGATCCGTAGGTCGTTCAGAAGCGGTAATTGCGATGTATAATTATGCCAACGGTCCTTCATTGGCATTGGAAGCTCATCGTCCCAGCTCCAGCTTCTTCCGCTGTCATCCTTCAAAGTCCAGAGGGCTTGCATAAACATTTTGGTGGAGATAATGACTGGACCTAGTAAACCAAGGAGATCAAAGAGGCGAGCAATTTCTTTCCTTTTTCCTTTCCTTTATTTAACGTCGGTCTCTGTTCCGCAATCTAGTGCCAATCACCGACGGACATCGATTGCCATCCATTGACGGCAATCGAATGTGCAGGAAGGCAGCTTCCACACCTGCGTAGGATATCGCACCCATTCAACACACATGGGCCGGGACCAACGGCTTTACTTCCCTTCCGAAGGAAGACGTGACCAGAGATTTTTATGCCTCAGAAAAATCCCACCGACCTCGGATGGGATTGAACCCAGACCTAAGGCGAGCAATTTGTGATAATGCTTTTCGCTTAGTTAGTGAAGCATCAAATGAGTCAGGTGGCAGCTCAATGCGGTACTTCAGCTGATCTGACGCAGGTTCCCAATGAAGGCCTAACGACTTGATGGATTGGTCATGATCCAGTTCAATAGAGGTTTTTAGTGCTCGATTTTCTGAAGCGATACCTTCCAGAACAGCTTCTTCGTTAGATGCCCACTTTCGAAGTTCAAACCCGCCTTTCGCCAGGAATGCTTCTAGCTGCTGACGGAGCTTAGTTGCTTCTTCGACGCTGCTTGCCCCCGAGTCAAGATCTTCCACGTAGAAGTCCTTACGTAAGACTTCGGCTGCCTCTGGAAAGCTGTCCTGTTCATCATCTGCAAGTTGCAGGAGAACACGAGTAGCGAGAAAGGGCGCGCTTGCAGTGCCATAAGTTACAGTTAGTAGCTCATAGGTACCAAGTGGTAGCTCCGATGATGTCGTCCAAACAATTCGTAGAAGCGGAGTGTCCCGTTCGTCTACGAGTACTTATCGGTACATCTGCTTGGCGTCAGCGATGACCATTGTTCGACGGATTCGGGAGCGCATGATGATTGACCGAATCTCTTGCTGCACGGTTGGACCTACCATGAGTGCGTCGTTGAGCGATGGTCCCTCCGGAGTCTTGCATGATGCATCGAAGACCACTCGCAGCTTCGTAGTAGTGCTCTCTTCTCGAACTACAGCGTGGTGAGGCATATGGTAGCATGGAGATGGAGGCGACTGGTAGTCAAACACCTGCTTCATGTGGCCCAAAGCAAGGTATTTGTCCATGAAGTAACGGTATTGCTGCGCTATGCCTGGGTTACGAAAAAGTCGACCTTGCAGCATTCGAAAACGACGGACGGCAGTAGAACGGTTGTCACCAACGGAATGGTTTGGAGTGCTTTCGTCTTCTTCGATTGACCAAAACTTTTCGATGAGCTTATGTAAATCGGTGATCGTTGCAACATTGACGATGATTGGAGACTTCGGAGTGCCATGCGAGGTCTTTCCAGACACTATCCAACCAAGAACCGAGTGGACCAAGGTCGGACGGGATTCACCATGCTGAATGTGACCTGAAACCTTAAGAAGCTCAAAGAATACTGCTGCGCCAATGATAATATCCACTGGATTTAATTCGTAGAACAATGGGTCGGCTAGCTGAACGCCGGGAGGAATAGTCCAAGAAGAACTATCGACTTGAACAGATGGCAAATCGATGGTAACTTTGGGCAGTACAAGGAACTCGGCAGAGGTGGAGTAGTCACAAACCCTTGATTGAATCGAAGCGACGATCTTGTACCGTGCGTACGTTGATGATTGCCCAATGCCACTGATCGGAACGGATATTTTTGTGCGTTGAGATTTGATAACTTGCAAGAGTGATTCGGTGATGAAGCAACATTCACTACCGGAACCGAGAAGCGCTCTGGCAACATGTTCAGTGCCGTTGTCGTCCACTAGTTTAACGACTGCGGTAGCCAAAAGCACGCCCTTTCGTGCTTGACCGGTGCTTGCATGGCTTGAAGGTCCGGTGACGGAAGCGGATACAAATGCTTTCGGCTTTCCGAATTTCGCATAGGATGTTGTGGCTGTTGATTGAGGACTTGGTTGTCTGGAGCTAACAGAATCGGCAGAATTCATCCGGAGCTGAGCTGTATGTGGTGACGAACAGTCTCAAGCTTGGTGACCCGTGCTCAGGCAGTTGCGGCATAGTTGATGGCGGTGAACTTCCTTTTCCTTCGCATCGACGTCGAGTTTCGAGAACAGCTGGCACATATAGAGTGGGTGATGATCAGAACACACGACGCATTTCCGGCCGGCGTGAACTTGATTGGCCCCATGACTAGCAACGACACGTTGACTGGACCTTTTCATCTGTTGAGTGGATGCTGGAGTGTCAACAGCTTTTCCCTGGATCGTTTGCACAACAGTTACTCTTCGCTGGATGAAGAATGTCAGATCCTTGAACGTCACGGCTGGTTTAGTTGAAGATAATTACTCCCAGTCCCTCCACTGAGCATACGGATCAGATTGGAGTCCCAAAACTCGGTTCTCTCACCAAGCTGCTTCAACACCTTCACGTTGGCTTCGAAGCTCTCTACCAGCAGATGTAAATCGGCCCCAGATTCACGTTTCAGGGTACCGACTTCGAAAAGAGCGTCGAGGTACGATTGTTTCAGACGCGAAGGATTTTGATAATGCTCAACCAGCAGATTCCAGGCCACGTGGTAGTTATTGGCACTGATGGTAATCGTTTGAACCAGTTTTAAGGCCTCTCCAGCCAGAGAGGAACGAAGGTAGTAAAACTTCTGGATGTTAGATAATTCGACAGAAGAGTGAACCAGAGAGACACACAGATCTTGGAAATTCAACCAGGTGTCGAAGTTTCCACTGAACGTAGGAAGTGTTATGTCGGGTAAGCGCACATGCGACGACAAAGCATGGACTTGTGAGCTTGAAGAAGAAGACGTAGTCATGGACGTCGATAGAGGAGATTTATTTTTGGAAAGCAGAAGACCTTTCACCCGGTAGTAGGCAGTTTCAAAGTCGACCCGTTCTTGAAGCTGCTCGTCGATCGACGGATTTGAGCTCCGATTGAGTGCTCTGAAAATCGGTCCACACCTTGTCGAGGTTCTCAAGGCGTACCCGGTATCTCGAAGGCATCCCTTTCTTCCTGATAATTGTTAACGAACGTCTTGATCAGGTTGAATGAGACGGTTAGGCTCGTCAGCTTGGTCTTCAATCCCTTTATGCGACGTTTCGTTGACATGATGAACGGCGACAGTGGTCTGCAAAGCGAAAGACCGCGCAGATCACACGAGAAAGGGTAGAGGAAATAGGAAATCTAATTACCTTTGAAAAGGCAAAATGTGCCTTGTATAGCTATTCAATTAGCGAAAGTGATGGCGGGTTCCAACGCTACTTTGCGATTGTTCCACGGACTATGATGGCGGACCGTGTGCTAGGTGGTTTGTAGTAGCGATGGCGGTTGTTTCACAATGGTCAGTTACCAGAAAAAACACTTCAACACTATGTCGACTTGAATGTCCAACCAGAGACGTCCGAAGACGTTGACCCGTGTCTCTGGAAGATGTGCCAGTATCCACACCGCTGAACATTACTCTGAACCATGACAGACGTACCGAAGACCTTATTAGACACCATAACTCCATTCAAACACATTCACACTGAATCAATTCGAGTAACTGAGCCTAAAAATCATCAACTTCATTAAAATATCCATGAAGACTCTAATATTACCACAAACAATCATTTTCAACTAGGTATACCATTGACTAAGTTAACGGCCAACCGGCTTAGTTTGCATAAGTAATAAACGACAGCGCTTGGAAAACGCGGCATACCAGCCACGGACACAAAGCAATGCAATTTGACGCGAAAACAAAGCTCTTGCCTGTGCATCAATCTCACAAATAGCCACGAAACGTGAGACTCCGCCAGAAATTTCCCTAATCCAAAACAAGTGATGCGACAGTTTTATGAATTTTTACTACCCATTTCCGACTCCATTTCCATAATGCTTCGTTTTACAACCTGAACCGAAGATGCTCCGTTCCGTCGTCCACTGGAGTTCAGATCATCCGTTCGCATTTCTCACCGATTGACGTCCACCAGCTTTAGCGGACGCTAATTTTTGAGAAAGTGTGACAAATTTGAATATTTGTCCCCCCGATCGTCTTGAAATGCAATTCGATCTTTTTCGACATTTTCACTCTTTTGTCGATCAGGGAAGAGATCTTATCGCATGCAAACTCGCCATCAGGATAGTGCGCAAAATTATCAAAAGAGTGATACTTTCGACTCTACGTAGTGGAGCCATACTTGACCTTTGGTGAGAGCGAGGTCCGAGGTCCTCACAGGGGACCAATTACGCGACGTTATGACGATGACGGTGGGGACGACACCGACCACGGTCGAAGAAAGCCGGATTTTCATTGTTTGCGGTTAAGATATGCAATGCGTGATGACACACCACCGACTGCGGCTCGGTTGACGCTGATGGTAGGTATGGTGGTTGATGCCGAGACCGCGATGGCTAGGCGACGATGATGGTGACTACGGTCAAGCAGTTCGGTTAATGAGCACTTGCACGATAAGTACGTGCACAAAATAATTGCATCACTCGAAGAAAGCTGATGTGGATGGGTATGAAGTTTCCGTTTGGGTATCGATTGGATAAAATGGTTATTATAGTTTAATTGAATATAAAGGCTCTAACAGAATTCCGAAGAGAATATTTTCAGAAAATTCCGACAATAATTCAAAAGATATGATGAAGATACTTCTAAACCATGTTTGAGGAAGTTTACTAGAAACTTGAAAGAAATCAATTTTTGTTATGTGTGAAAATTCTAATGACATCTTTAAGGAAAATATGAAGACATTTCTAAGAAAATGCACAGAAGTTAGAAAGTGCTATGCCACGAACTTAAGCTTAGTGCTTAATTATTCGGTTTTAGTGAATTCAGATGAATTGTTTATATTGAAGTTCCCTACCCGGAGATGAAAAACAACTCAAAATTAAGTCATTTTCTCTCAATTTCCGGGTTCAGTCCAATAACCCAGATTTGAGTAAATCGCATATAGTAGTTTCCATTTAACACCAGCAAAGAAAAAACTTACTCTTAAGTATATTCTACCCAAAATAAAGTTTGATTCACGCAAATTTGCGAATATGCAATTTACTCAAAAGTATCTTATTATCTCAAATTTTGGATAGTATTTTTTCTCCGTGTATATTATAGCAATAGGATTTATAAATCATAACTGAAGGAAAAAAATGAAAAAAATAACTATTTGGTTTGATCTTTAAAATGAAAAGTGTCTCCAGCAAACATGTGGAGAATCTTATCTCAATCATCTTTGCTTAATATGTTTAATCTTCATATTGACTATTTCTTGAGAAATTTGTTTTTTTTTTAATTTCAGTTTTTTGCTCGAACTAGTGATAAGTCCTCGGGTTTCCTGGACCGAGGATGATCTTGAAACAAGGAAAAAATGAATTAGTTAGTATTCACCTATGTATGTGATTCCTAATCTTCTATTCGTTGTTACCTAGTTTGAATTGGTTAAAATTAGGGTTCTGATGCATGGTCATTATCGGTTTCATAGCTTGTTTTTGTTGTTAAGGAATCCAATTTTGGCTGACAAAGGGGCGCGCCTTTGGAGGGGGGTTTCAACACTCCGAAGGGTATAAATAGCGGAACCTTTCAGTAAGAACCGATTCCGTGCGATGAAGGCAAGAATGACAACTGTATCAAAACCGAATACTTCATCATTTCTCAATAGTGATGGAGTAAAACGACATGCACTAAACTAAGGACACGGGAAATACTACAATAGATCAAATTACTGGTCGCAGTTATGTCCCGAACAGAGGAAAAAAAAATATTGGTGTTAAGTGATTTGATGATGATTGTGGTGAGTGGTAAGTTGGTATTATTGTTGTGTGTTGGTGAGTAACTCATATTAAGCTTGTATGGGGGTTGCATGACTAGTGTCTGCCTCTTCGTTATCCGATATCCGAAAAATATCATCAAGATCTATTGCGTCAGTTTCTTTCGGGTTTGCTTCGGTGGATTGCTTTTTTTGGATGGAGGGCTTTTATTATCCACAGAATTGCTTTGGTGTTTGTTCTTGCGTTTCGTGCCAGTATCTCTGTTATTGTTCCATTCGTTTTCAACTTCATCGGATTTTTGTCTCAATCCTGCGATGAGCTGAGCAATTTGTTCTTTTTTTTTTTTAATTGATTCGATTAATGCTTCCAATTTTGCGGTTTTTTCGTCTTTTTGATTCATTGATTCCTGTTGAGAGTCGAGTTTCGAACGCCTTTGGATACGGTTGTGTTTTAAGTTTGTTCTCTGTTTTGTGCATGCATTCGCTTTCACAGTTTTCGGCTGCATTTGCCGGATTAGCGCTGGAATTCTGCCTGCCGGACGGTTATACGTGTGTGAGTGGTGGTTTTCTCGCTTTCCGAGAAGTTTTAGAATCGAGAAAGAAAACATGATTCATCATGTTTGCAAGCAACAGAAGATTTGACGCTATCTGCGTTGTTTGATTTTTGCTCCCGGTCCAGAAATTTGTTGCATCGCGAGTGATAATTTTAATGTATTTAAGCGGTAATGATGTTGGTTCACTCGCAACTATTTTTGAATAAAAATTAAGTGTTTTTGAACGAAAGTGTACCAAAAGTGCTTCTGAACGTGTTTCGCAGTTGGGTGTGGTGAAATTCGTGCATTCCCGGTTGATTGTGGAAATCCGTATCACAAAATTGCCCACCGATACCTTTTTTGCCGTTCGACGACGACGGGTGTGCTTTTGCGAGAGTGACGTTTATTGGATCCGTTTCTTTGCACGGGTGTGTGTTTCTTTTTTTTTTGTAACTAGCGTAAGTGTGCCTGCGATTTGCATTGAGTGTCGGAGATTGTGAGTAAGCTGACGGATGTCTCGCTGGATACGCCCAAGACTGGACGGGCGGTAGCTGTTGTTTTTTGTTTCCGTATTTCTGTTGTTCATTAATGGCAAGTGAAATTCGAGAACGTAATTTCATTTGAATTGCTTGTTTAACCAGGTCTTGAACAATCGTCACGACGGTCATAGCTTGTTATGATTGCCTGAACCATGCGTAAAGAGAAAATCGAAACATTGAACGTCGCGTGAAGCTGGATCTTAATGAAGGCCTAAGTACTCTTTCGTAGGATTTCAAATATCGTCGGTTGCAGTGTTTTGCTTACTGAGCAGAAAAATTCGGTCCCAGGTCCTTTCATATTAAAAATGTAAATTAAGATCGCTTGTGTATCGTGTATTTTGCGAAACTCGTTGTTGTCGTTGGTTCCGGATTTGAATGGATACACAAATTTGAGCAACGGTATTCTGTGATATGAGGGGCTCGGTGGCCTTAGAACAACCGGTTTTGCTTACTGAGCAGAACATCATGAGTCTAATCTCAGGCCCATCCACATTCAAGATTCGTCAATCGTTTTATTTGTTAATATGACTAAATGGTAATAACAGCAACTCGGTGATTAAAAAGGTGCTCGTCTGCCTAGTGGCAAACGTTTTTGCTTACTGAGCAGAAGACCGTGAGTTTAGTCCCAAGCTCCTTCGCGTTATATGATCGTTAGGACATCAATTCAGCTTATCGTTTACCAAAACGAACCCTGCTGCAAGCCCAACCCTTTTATCCAACATCCCAGTGATTTCTCGTTGAAGTGCAGAGGTGTTCTCGGCTTCCATCAAAGCGAGTGTCACGTCAACACATTCCTACCCCTTCTTTTCTCGACCTGTGTTTGGGCACGTCCAGCGCTGGTATTGCCTAGTTTTAAATCACCAGTTTTTACACATTGAGGATGATTGCTAGTCCCAAACATCGTCTATTGGTTCTCTGTGTAATTACAGCTGGTCTGGCAATAACAGAGTAGCAACCGTGGGCGGTTAATCATGCTCAGGCTCATGCTCATTCATTTATTCCTGTTGAGCCTCAAGTTTTGCATTTTTGAGACGTGATTGTACATTGTAGCTGAAACATCCTGATCGTTTTTGTGCTTCAGGATACGAAATATTATGTTCAACCTTGATTTTTACTACTTGGCATTCTTTTTGGAAAAGTGGACATTTCCTGAAGGTAGATCTGTGGTCACCGTTGCAGTTAATACAACGAGGATTCATTTCGCAGTTTTCGTCTAGGTGCTCATTTCTGCAGTTGTAGCAGCGTTGGGGTCCAGGATATCTTGAACGGATATATGTCCA